CGTGGGAAGAACAGCTCAGAAGTGCTTGGTTAACAAAGGTGGGACCTGGGAGCTCAGAAGAAATAAGGTTCTCCTTCAAAAGTTATTGCACTATGTCTGAATGCCAGATGGAAAGTACTACCAAAAACCCCCTAATGAATAAGGACTACTGCCAGAAGAACAAATTATCTTTGTCACCAATACCTTTGACAGAAAAAAAGGAACCATCTTCTTCAAAGAACTTTCATTTAAGAATTACAGTTGCCATCTGCACTGGTCCAAAATTTCTTCTAATAATGTAGAGTATAATTGTAAATCTGAGCAGAATTTAGATCAATGGCTCCAATTGCCCTTTCAGCTGTTTCACTACTAGTTGGCCAATGTCATGCTGGAATCTGTTTTAGAATGTTAACAAGGACATGGCTTTACACAGGATTGAGGTCTTCTGAACATTGAATTTACATCAGCTAAATGATAGGGTTTCTATCTTTCTAGGAGACCTGAGTGCCAGCTCTTTGTATAGCAAGAGGGCAAGAAGATTGCTAAGATGACTGGTTATTTTTAGACATCTTGGCTAGAATTTAGTTGTAAACAAACAAACAAAAAAAACAACACAAAAAAACCCCTATGTGCACATAGAAAGCACATTGAAGAAAAAGCTGTAAAAACTCATCCTTAGTCACATTCATATAAACCTACCAAAGTCAACCTTTCCAAGGCTACTTTGTTGGCATGACACAGTTCTTTTTACAGGAAGAACAGGGCAGGTTCCACCAGATATAAAAATTTTAAATTCTTGTTAGAAAAAAGAAACAATTTCATGCTATCTAGCAATTTACTTCCTTTATGTACACATGACAGTCTGAGGATCCTTTCTCGTGCCCTGATCTACCAGCTGTGGAAGTACATCCAGCAGGTCAAATAGTGTTGCAATTTACAACTGGCAGAGATGAACACAAATCTGAGCCTGTGACTTCTCATTCACCAGTTCTTGTTCAAAGTCTAACAAAGTGGATCAGGAGCAGGTTTTATGACTGTATTCATCAGAACAGGGAAATTGCAGAATGATTCATACAAGATTACAGAGAAAAGCCTACGTCTTAAATGCAAATCTAAAGGATCCCACTGTCTTCAGCTGTGACCTCAGCTAAGTAACTTTTTCAGGTCTGCGTCCACACTCTCTGACATTGCTTTCTGTAGGGGTGAAACATAATGGTAGAGTAATGAGGTTGTTGAAATTTCTCTAATTTCTGAATTAACAATCCATACTCTTCTTAGAAGTGGCTTCAGGATACCCATTGCCACAAGTGATCAACAGCTTGGTTTCACAAGTGTAATTTTTATTATGCTAATTGAAGGTTCAGACTTCTGAAATGAGCAAAACGAGTGATTTTATTACAACTCTTTATTAATACTGTGCTGTCAGAGCACAGAAAATGGAACTCGCTTATCCAGAATGTCAGAGGGCAACTAGACAATTGTGTCACCCATAAAAATTATACTCCTTCATCTCATTCAGGCATACTGAAAAAATTCTCCTATTCTTAAATCTTTTCCTAAAATCTAGTATCTTTGTAACAGTAAACATGATTTGGGAGAGAATCTGGATGAGTAGTCAGTCCCACAGTCTTTAGAATTTTTGTGGCACATGACAACTTCTAAGGCAAGACATTGTCTAAAACAATTTTTGAGGAAGAGGATTTTTGTGGGTTTTTTTTAATCGGTCTTAAATCTACTCTGTTTTTTCTTTAGATAAAAATGAATGCATTTAACATCATACAGTTTGGGAGTAGGAGGGAGAATCTGCATCAAGTCAAGTTTCAGAATCATTAATGAGCTTGTTCTGCGTCTGGAAAATGAAAGAGAACAGTGTGAACCACTAGCACAAACCTCAGCTGCACGTGAGGCAAGCAGCTAATTTCAGCAGTGGAGTCTGTCACAGGCAGAGCTATAGCAACTGAAAAGCACAACTCAGACGCTTTTCCCAGGACTTTCCTCCACAGTTAAAAATCTACCAGCAAACAGTACATCTCCTGCACAGCAATTGCAATGCTTCCTGGACAAGCAGCTGCACTCATCCATTCCGTGTGTGCAAGCATCACTGGTGCATACACAATCACACTAATTGTGTGTTTAAGAAACATAGCAAACACTGGTTCTGTGATTAACATCTGGAAATGCAAATCCTAGGAAGAAGACAGAAATTTCTAAGCTAGCATGCTGGCTCTCTCTCACTTATCCTTGTGTTTTTCCACATCTATCGTTGCTTCCTTGTACTTAGAGCAGTACCTTGCAGCAGTGCCTAACCCACAGGGCACAAAAGCTCCTCATGCAACTCAGTTCCCATTTGTGCATCCTTGGCCAAAAGCATGATACTAAATGAACATGGTGATAATTCCATCTCAGCGTGTCCTGGCTTACTCCAGGAAGAAAATGGGGAAGGATGGTGCAGGAAGGAGCTGTGCTGTGCTCCAGTCAGTGCTGTAGCTTGAAAAAACAGGGAGGCAGGACTAAAGTGAGTGCACCCAGGAGCACCCTGACCCTGCAGGTCACCCTCTGCCCGGGTTCCTGCCCTTTCCCTTTGTCTGGATCCTGAGCGACATGCCTCCATTGTCAATAGGTTCAGCATTCCTTTAGAAGTTTAGTTTTAATTCTAAATTCCCTTAATTTGTAATATGTCTTTGATGTTTTTAATGTCTCCTTGTAAGACTTTTACAGTAACTTGAATAATGGAACAAAACCAATTCCAGACACAAAAATATTGTGAGTATAAAAATACTGCTCTGCCAGATCAGAGTTCAATAATCAAAGCAACACTGGATTCCATCCCCTGAAGGATTGCTTTCAGATGCAGAAAAGGACTCAACATGCTGAAGACTAGCCAACTGTTCTGCAGAAGCACCCAACACCCACTTTAGAGACAAAGGTGGATGGGGACAGTACTAATTCAGTGTGTCGCAAATAGTCTAGATGTATCCAAAAACAGAAAAAGTGCCAAGCAGGATTTTAAATTTCTGGTCATTTTAAATGTTTTTGCTATCTAAAATCAAGAACTAACCCTATTGATTTCATATTGAAGAGAAGCAGGAAGACTTCAGTTGGCTCAAAGGCACTTGGAAGAAAGCCAAATAAATGATGGGCTGATGTCACAGAACTGCTGGAGGAGGTAGTGGGTACGTTGTCCCTTCTTTATTCATTACTCAAGCAGAGAAGATATTCAGCCTGAGGTGAACTGAACCTACGTATTCCACCTCCCAAGACAATGCACTAACCACTGCTACAAGGTAGCATGAAGGGACCACCAAATCTCCTCAGCCAACATCATTCTATTTTGCATAAATAATTAAAATTCACTGGCACGCTGAGTCCCAGCTAACAAAGCCTTTCTATAGCATGCATACTCCCAACCTCCAGGCTGCAGCCTTCCTCCTGCTCCCTTTGTCCCAGGCTCAATGAATATTTCAAGTGAGAATGAAAACAACAGCAGTGACGAAGAGAAACCTATTCTGGACCTCTCCTACCAAGAGATGATGGATCTGGCTGAGTCTCCTGCCCCAAATCAAGCAACCAGTATATTTGAACTTGGAACTTTCACCTCTCAATGAGTACCCTAACCCAAAAAACCGCAGCACATTCTGTTGTACTTTTCTTCCAAAGTGCTCCTAAAATTACCCAAAGAATCCCCACATCTGTCAGTTCGCTGCCAGTCCCTTCTAGACCAACACAGTAATATTTACAAGGGACTTTAGCAGGGATTTTTGTATCCAATTGGGAAATACGGAAAAAAACATAACCCCTACAGCATTCAAATATTTCTAAAACTGTTCCAAAAATAAAAGTCAGGCATGGACTAAACTTCTATCATCTGTCTCCTATAAGAGGTGCATAGCAGTACTGAGGCAAGCAACTCTCAGCTTGCAGGGAGCAGCTGTAGCGGAATAACAGGCAGAGCATGGAAGGGGGAAGGAGAAGCAAACAGAACTTCTGGGGAAAGAGGGTCAGGCAATCTCAGGAAGAAGAGCTTCAGAAAAAAGTCATCATCGAAGGCAACGAGGGGCAGTGTTTGAGCAGAAAATTGCTCCTTCAGACACTGCTCCCAAAGGAAACAAAGGTGAGAACAGCCATGTGCTAGCAGCAGCCCAGGAATTTACTGATAGATTATTATTAAAGGAGAGAAAAATACCTCCCTTTCACCCCATACAGGAAAAAAAGCGGGAGCTAGTGCCTGATTTTTGGAAAGTTATCTGTTGTGTTTAGCAACACAGTGATGCCATTGATTGTCTTACACAAAAGCACATTTTCATGTAGCTATACAAGATTTCCAGTATTTCAAAACTCAGTATGAACTGCAACACTTCCTTAATACAAGCAAAGCCTAAAAGAAAAATGGCTTTTCCATTTTTGCATACATATATACTTCACATTTTTCATCCTATAGGTATTCTTGCTAATAGTGTCAAAGATAGAATTAAGATAAAATTACTTTTTTTTTCAGTCCCTGGAAGAAGGTTAAGATATGTTCAAAGACAGGAACACTTCTACTGTGCTACGTTCCCTCTTTGAATACACAGCTTTGACCAGAAACACATAAAATATTGGTAAAAATAGATCTCATACTATAATCATTACATATTTAAGTCAACATGTTTGACCAAGAATAAAGTAATAATTAGACATTGTAGATGCTAAGGAAATGAATGCAAGAAAAAAGAAGGTAAGAAATTAATTGTGAATGGCCATTTCCAGGAATGAAATGCAGGTGAAACAGGGATCTAAATGTTACTCTATATTGCTGGTAACAAATGAAAAATGACACAGGTCAAAGAAAAACATGTGCACACTACAACCTATTCCTATACAAATACTGTTCTGACATGGTCAGATAACACTGCAAAGTTAAAGCTTATTTTCAAGTTGTCATAATTTTTCCTTAATTCAAGCAACCACATACATAAAACTGACACACATATAGTAAAAAAGAAAAAGACCAAAAGCAAGCGTAACAGGAATTTGGTACTCACCTCCTTCTCCTGACCCAGAGCCATTATCTGGAAAAGAAACACAGGGGGAGAAAAAAAAAAAGAAAGCAAATGAAAACATTGCTCCAGGAGTAACTGGTAACAGGTGTTACATTTCATGAGCCAGGTGTAAAAACAGACATCCCACATAAAGCCTGACATCCTTTAATACAGTTTATGCATGCTTGCTGTGCCCTACTCTCTCTCTTCCCGGTCAAGATACTTTTACTCAAGGAACAGCATCATTCAGTACTAAAAACTAAATGGCTTTCTTGGCTTTTTTCAACTGTTAAGAGATTCAAATCTGTTAAACCTGAACCAGATGAAGAGCAGAGAGACTGATTTTTGGAATATTTATGTTTTTACCCTCTGACTGTGGGAGTGGTACATGAAGGAGTAATCACCTGACCGCAGAAGTAACTCCAGAAGACAACTAGTCCTCAAAGTAAATTTGGCTTAAGTCATCTAACTACAAAATAGCTCCTCTCAGCTGAGTCAATCACTTCGTATAAGGATGCTCTAATGGCTTAGTTATTTCATTGACATTAGACTGACTGGATTAGCATCTGATGAGTGACAGCTTGTGGCTGCATCCCCTTTGCACTAGCAGTTCAAGTATCAGCAGGACTTGAGCTTCCTCACCACCCCAGGCGAACTAACTCCACTTTAGAGCATTACAGAGCTGGCTAGGGATTTTGTCTGGAGATGTGCATCCCGCGGGTCAGTGCTCTGCACAGCATCAGCAGCAGGAAAGACAAGCCCTTAAATACACACTCTGAGTCACAAACCTCCCTTCGTCTTTCTCGCTCAAAGGAGGTGAAAAGGAGGGGATGGGATGGCAATTACTGCTAGTGAATTGTTCCCCATCCCTGTTAGCTCAGCTTCTCCAGAAGATGAGGAGAGGAACAGAGCACACTGCTCGTCCCACACCTCTCCTTTCATGCCTGCTTTGATGATGGAGAAGGCAGCTGAATTTATTTCCACAAATGTGAAAGAAGGAGGAGACCAGACAGAGGAGCAGGGTTCTTACTTCCACATATGAGCTCATTGTTCTCATCAGAGGAAAAACCAAACCCTCTGTTTGCTCAGTTCCCTCCCCTCCTTTTTCTTTAAGCAGTTATATTTCTAAGAATAATTCCCTCTAGTGTGTGGATTACAGTGTGAAATTCCATGTTACTGGGTCACTTCACACATTAAAAATAATCTCCTGTCACATGGAGTATCAGCAATAGAGAGGGTTTTTTCCTCTGCCTAAATTTTTCTTTTTGTCCTCCTATGCTACTGTTCCACGTCTAATAGACTGAGCTTATCACCTTACAGAAATGAACGCAAAAACAGAAGGGCTCTTGGTCCATCAATTAGGACCCACTTTACTGACAAAGCAGACAATCCTGTATAAAATGTCACTGTTGAGTCACTGGGAAATATGGCTTATAATGCAGTATTGCTTCATTAAGAAATTTGAAGGAGTATAATTTATTTATATGAGGTAAGTATATAGGCTTATTTGTAGTGGTGAAATTGTGTCATAAGCTGTTCTGGGGCAGCGAAGGCTGACATACAAACATAAGCAAGTTCAACATGTAGTTCATATAAAAAACAAAGGCTAAAACGTCTCAAAGAAACTTGACTTGTTCCATGTTTTTATTTCCAACTTTCACTCTCTGACTGCTTTCCCCTGTGTATTTAGCCCCGAGGTGAGAAATGCTGTTCAGGCTCCAGATACACCACGAGGTGCGTATGCAGCGTGGCAGGGAAGGCACCATCACAGAGACAGTATGAGCTGTAACGAGACAGCTGTGTAAATGCTCTCTAAAGGTGATGCTCAGGCCACCCATCTCTATAGATCATTGGGTTGATACACATAATATGTATATGTCCATATGCAACTCTGTCTCCACTTGGCAGGACATCCTAGTAATGGGATAGATCCATTCCTATTTCTCTGGGCTTTCAAGTCTCAAGAAACCATAAAAAAAGAGTGTCATCCTCTATAACATTTTGCATAATTTTCAACTTTCACTGGGAGCTTGTGCCTCCTCTCTGAGCCTGGGAGCTGTGCTAGGACTCCTGTCTCCAGGGTAACTGTGCTAAACTAAGCCCGTGTTCCTGCTTCTTTCTGAGCCTTGGCTAGATTTTCCTAAGCAGCTGTTGGTAAAAAAGTTAGCATTTTTTAGCAAGCTTACTTGGACAAGCAGCCTTGCTCTTTTCAGGCCCTTAACCAATTCAGGATTTCCAAAAGTGGTCTCCATGCATCAAGATCTGGCAAGAAAGATGCTCAAACAAGTGAGGAAGCTGGACAGAAATAGCATCCCCCCAGCCACGGGTCAGTAACTAGAGAGTGAGTTAAGCCATTCTTTTCCAAATAGGCTTGTAAAAATAGGCTTATACACACATGTATAGGCTTCTACTGCTAGCTGCTTTTATCTGTGAAGGAGTTTCTGGATAAAATACATATAGAAGCACTTGGATCAGACACAGCATCTGAGTGCTGTAAGCAGTAGGCTACTGTCAGAATCCCTGGAGGTTTTTTGTTCTCTCTGAATAGGAGCCATTGCTATACCGTAGGTCTGCTTTGGTGCAGAGGGAGAAGGTACACTGCCCAAACCCAGAAGAGCCTGCAGGCTCCCTCATTCACAAGGGATGGTTTTTAACTCAAACTAGCATGAAAAATGAACCCATCTCTTCCCCAGTTAGGGCAACAGCTCCAAACAGCTAAGCACAAACAGCAGGACAAAGAGTCCACTGACAAATTTTAAGCAAGCAGACCCTTCCACTTGATTCACATGGGGCAGGTGATCCAGCAGGCACCTCTGGAGCAAACCTGTCAGATCCTGCTCACAGAGAGGCAGGCAAAGAAATGCCAAAATGCTGAACCTTTTTTAGATCTGTGTAAGAAACAGGTTGGCAGCTATTCAGTCACGCGCAGAACATAACACCTCTTGACACACTGGAGGTAAAACCGTACACCATTCTCCAGGAAACAAAGAACAGAAATTATGTATTTAAGGAATTTAGGTATTGCAAGGCTTAGCTGACAGCTGAGAAGGGATTTCCAGCATCTGAACTTTGGCACCCAAGGTTTATTACACTCTTTATACACAAGTCCTGGATTTTCCCCAAAAGCTTTTCAGATACAGCTGGGGTGGTTTTAATACAAAGACAGTATGTGCCACTTCTTTGCTTTAAGCAGAGATTGGCCTCCCCACACCAGCATTCCAGAAACTTCACAGAGCAAGTTCTGGATAACGTTGACTCTTTTAGTCAATTATCTTCAGCTACTCATCATATGAAACAGAACTAGAAGACGGAAAAGCAGCTGCTTTCTCAAGTTCCCTATTAGCTAACTATTTTCTGCCTGGATTTCCCAGTTAACAGAGCTAGCAAAGCAGCCCTTCTTGTAGTCAGGTAAGCTTTCTGCAGTTCGCCCTGGATACAAAAGAGCATATCTAGCTAAAGATTGTATAAAATTATCAAGAACTTGCTACCAAAGAAGACCATCCTGATCTACAGTTGGCAGTAAGCACAGCAATGACAGCACTATTGCATTGCTCAGTGAGAGCTTTTAACTTTCCCTCTTTCCTCAGCAGCAGCAGGAGAGATCCAAGATCTCCCAACAGCTCTGCAACTGCCAGCATCTTGGAAAAGAGCCGAAATCAGCACAGCCCCTTTCAAGCCACCAGCCAGAGCAAAGACCAAAGGAAGCTCCAACTTCCCACTGCTGACAGGGCAGTGGAGCTCACACCACGGCACAAAAGCTGTTTGCAGAGGAACACACCACCTCCACCACCCCACACTCCCAGCTCAGCCATCCTCCTGCTGGGATCATCTGCCCACCCTCCAGGAACAGGGCCACCTGCTAGCAATTACCCTTGATTTGGATATGCCAGCAGGGGCTTTCTGGGGAGGAATGTTTTTGGGGAGGACGAGCCTAATTGCCAGCAGCTGCAAGGCCCCCGCCTGCTGGCGATAGGCTTTTAACCTCCACCTTGCTGGGCTGCAGGTAAGCTGTGTCCATTTGCCTGGACATCTTCAGAGGAAAGGCATTTACTATCTCATTGTCCTGGTAGCCGTTTCCTGCTTAATTATACCATAAAAAAATAAAATAAAAAATGTACAGAATATTAAATCCTGGCATGTGATGATGGGGTATTTTTGGGTATGACTTTTTCTTTGCTTCAAAACATTTCCTAATGACAGAAGGGTGACCCTCTGCTGTTTTAAACCCTCTTCCCAGGCTGGACAGGAAAGCTCCTGCACTACACTGAGTCTGGGAGTAAAGGTCTCAGCCAGTTCTCAGAATAATCTATGTTTTTATAGGTTTTCTATGGCTTTCTTGAGAGAGCATGAAGAGTTATTTTCACACTTTCTTAATCTAGAAGGGAGTTGTCTAGAACCTCTTCCTGAACTCCGTCAAAATAATTAAACTCAGCTTATTATATTTCTTTCCAGGACAATGTGTGCATCGAATTATGCTTCACTGTATGCCTCCCACAAAAAAAAAAAAAAATACTGTAAAAACCTGTGCATTCAAATTCAGGGTAAGAGTTTGATTACTTCAGAGTGAAGAACACTAAATTAAAGCCATTCTTCAGAGAATCATTCCTTAAATCCAACAGAGCTATAGTATTTGTTTCTAGTTCAGTGAACAGCTTTTTTTTTTAACTTTAGAAATCCCCATAGAAAGAACAATAGACTGTACCTTCACAATATAGTACACTGAGAATCTATAAGTACAATATATCAAGTACTATATCATTGTGTGGTTACATTTTCATGTGGATATAATATAAATCTGACAGCAGTCAAAAACATGGCTCTGTGCGCAGGCTAACAGCAGCACATTTTTAGAAATTAATTACAAAGGTCTATTTCTTATTTACTGAATTAATTTTTTTATTCAAACTAATAAAACACAATAAATTAACCAACAAAAGGACGCAGAAGAAATCAAGGGACTCGGTGACGCTCCTCCTCAATGCTTTGAACATCCTGACCATTCTCTCTTCCTGGTTTCTTAAATCTGTCTAGCAAGCCAGTTCAGGTTAACCTTTGGTAGAGGAGGGCATAACATGAATGAATTTCAATTCAATGTTACACTGTATGAACTGATCAAGCTTTCAGGTCAGCAGCAAGACCGCTGATGCTGTGAGCTTGGCAGGAGTCCTGGTGTAGGTATTGCCATCTCCCCATGCCCTGCTGGATAGTCCCACCTCTGCATTTCGTTGTGGGCTGAACTGCAAACAGGGGACTGGTAAGGGTGAGAAATCAAAGGAAAAGGCTATGGTTCATAACATAATCCCACAGAGCAAGGAGGAGAAGCTGTGGAAGGTGGGAATTACTATCAACAAGGTCTTTGCTTCACGGCCCTGTTCGTCTCCACCTCATCTCAGACAGGGTGATTGCTTCTTTACAAATGCAAAAGACCAGGTTAGGTGTAGATGAAAATTGTATACAGTTTGATTTGACTCATCATTTGATTCCAAGGTATGTTAAAGTATTAAGCAAAGAGAATACTAAAGCTGCATTTCTCTCATTTTCCTAGTTTCTCTGTATTTTGTTACATGGTGCTACACGTATTGGCTGAACCTGCAGACCCTCATCATCCACAACTGTGCAGGGGTTAATTTGGCATAGGAACACCTCTGCAAACCAAGTTACTTGAAAAAAACCCAATGTTCCTTCATTGAAAAATGAGCTTTGACAATGTTAAGACCTGTATACGCTGTCCCGAAAACTTCAGCTGCGCATTCTCTTACATTTCTCTAAAATGCCATTTTTAATGTCAAAACTTGCACTTTATTCATTCCTAAATGAACATGTTCATTCATACCTATGACAGATACCTTTTTTTAACATTGCTTATTTGAGGATCTTGCAACTCTGACAGCACTCAGACAAAGGAAATAAATATATAAATATGCTGTTAAATTACCCATAACTGTAAAAATTTAATCAAAATGTTACCTGCCAAGAAACAGGTTTGACTAAATCAGTCAGTATAGTGCGCTCCAGTGCCATAGCTTCAGAAGGTATCAATCCCTAGCAAAAGGGAAGTATTTCATTCTTGTATGAGATTCAGATGTCTGATGTACTTTAAATATTAAATAGTTGTTGCAATACCATAGGGACACTTCATCCTGTTGTCTCAGGTGTACCCTGTCAGGATGAAGCTTTGCTTTGAAAAACCGAAACTCTGATAGGAAACCAGTGACTCTGTACTTAGCTCCCAATTATGTCCCAGAACACAGCATTTTCATAGAAAATTAGGAGGCACTCGGCGAAAATGAATGGAGGTCTATAAAGGATTTAATTTGGGCATTTGATTCTCAACATATATGCGCTCCAGATCAAGAGTACAAATATATTGACTTCTGGATGACCTGTGAACCCCAGCAGGGCATGGACAGGTCACAGAGGATGGATGGCTTTTATTATCCGATATTCTCACATCCGCCAGAGCACATCAAACACTCAAGGAGCAGCAGGTACTGTTCTGGTAGAGCTCCACTTTAAATTGTGCCAGTGTAAATGCAGTAGGTATGCAGCCTGAATTGCACCCTCAGTTTCAGAAATGTTTTTTCAGTACTTTCTGGCCAATTGTCTCAGCACATGTCTTGATCTATTACATGAACTGCTAAAAATTATGCTGTATTCCCTGGATTCTATGTAGGACTTAAAGAAAAGGAAGGGGAGGTTAAAAAAAAATCTCAGGCTTGCTGAGTATGGCAGTAATTGCTGCCAGCAACCTGAGGCTGAGAAGAAACAATTTTTTGTTTCAAAATGTCTTTTTCTTAGTAAGGTAGAATGCATATGAAAATAATCACTTTTTTTGTCTTGTTGTTCCCAAAACATTATCCTATTATTTTGTTTTAGTGAGGGAAAAACTTTCATTTTGTGAATGTTTCTTAAAATAATTTGGGCATGACATTAAAAAAAATATTTAATTATACATCCTCAGTTCAAACCTTCATAATACTTCTTGGGTGTTGTTACAGGAATATGTGAGTAGTCCAAAACTATAATGCATTTTTTTTCCTATTTCTGCAGTGTCTGGAGATAATTTACAGGTGGGAGATTGAGCAGGAAGGTAGATTCAGTCATCTGCCTGAGGTTTGTTGGAATTATGCAGCTGAGCCGGACACAGAACACAGGTTGCTTTCAGCTCTGGGACCAGTCATAGATCATTTTGGACCTTGGTGAACAACCCCAAATCTCAGTGTAAGTCTGTACTGCAGTCAAAAGCATTGCAGTGGCTCGTTTAAAACACAGCCATGCTCCATTTAAACGAGGTAGCTCTGGGATTGTCAGCAGCCAGAACCTTGGCCTAGGTACACTGCCCAATTATTTACCCTCATTTCCAGGTAGGAGGTTGGAGCTACCAGTGAGTTCCAGGGTGCTACCTCTAAATTGTCATCAATAACTAGCCTTGCCATTGTAAACTTAGCTAGGAGAGTGCACCTGATGCTTCTGGCTGCCAGAATATAGATGTAACCTTTCTTAGGCTAATCTGAGTAAATATTATGTATCAAAATGCTAGGGATGTCCCACAACACAGTTTTTTGTGTGTGCTATTTATGTACCAAAGAATGAAGTTGTTGATGCTACTGAGTCATCCAATTTAATTCTGAGAAAGCCATCCATGTGTCTGGTCTCACTAGCTTTGTATCTGTCCAGAGATTCAGAAGACCTCTGGTGGCTGAAGTTTCTGTGTTGCAGTATTAGAGACAGTGAAAACCTGTGATATGTATTTTAAGCCTGTGGAAAACCTGTTTTAAGCACATGGAAAGACAGAAAAGGTCAATCCATTAGAAATGTGAGGTACAATGATTTTGTAAGAGTTGTGCATAGCTTCTAAGTAATGACCTAATGTGAAATTAGTCAAAGATGATGCCTTAGATACAGGTAGAGTGGCAGTCAAGATGATCAGTGTCACTTACTGGATGTCACACTAATTCTGTACACCCACAAAATGAATCCTAAAGAAATGATTAATTTGGAGTCTGCTTCAAATTTGTTGCAAGCCTTTTGATGATATCAAGGCTCCTCTATACATACAACAGAAGCATTCACAAACTGTTTTCTCAGGTAAAGTATTTATACTTTTAATGTTTATTTATTAACCTGTTAGCATACCAGAAGATATATCAGATTTCTTCTCTATAAAAATATTCCATTGCTCAAGAGGAATTTGGGTTTCCACATTATTTTATTCTATGAAAAGCATAAAAATTAAAATCTCTGGAACTAAGGGCAAAACTAAAGAGCTAACCATATAACATCATTCACTAGTCACACAAAGTGATGGTTTACATACCAGAATAACAAGGTCCTCTTGATACCACTGTTATCTCTTTTTGATGTTTGCAAGAAGCTCTCCTGAGGAAGCATTCGTTTTGGTAAGTGTCTCCATTTGATCCACAAACAGGAATATAGTTTGTGTGACACTGAAAAAGAAATTATGAATTAACTCAGTCATACAAAATCATGTGATTAATCTCATCTGCATATTAATATACAGGAAGATAGTTGTGTAAATATGAATTACTAGCAATAACTTATAAACCTCTTCACTAAAGGAAGATTTAAAATACATTAGTTTCTCAATGTCACTGTTTTCCTTTCAGATCACTGAAATAATAGTCCAGCTCCTTATGGGCTGAACATAGGAATTTAGTAGGAAAGATTAAAAGAACAAAATAACTACAGTGGGACTCAGTAATGGCCAGAGGGAATACGACAAGCATCTAGAAGTATTGGAAAGATAAACACACTGAGGAAGGAGAGAACTTCTTCAAGATAATACAAGAATGTATGACTAGGCACAGGGGGATGAAACTGAGCAAAGGAAAATTTAAGGTGAACAGTGCTTGAAGGGAGACTTGCTGATCTTTTTAGTCATAGAATGACCTTTCAAGGGAGATGGAAAACAATTACCATCCCCATTAAATTCATGAGCGTCATGAGTCTGTTTTACTTGGTCAACAACTATAATACTGCTTTTGTATTACTATACCAAAAATTTTTAAGCTCAAAGTCAGTAGCATTTATAAATTTAATAAAAAGCATGGAAGAAAGGAAAATTTGTCATTTGGAATGGTTTTGGCAGGAGCAGTCTGTATCTTGCTATTTTCTTACATTTTAAGCAAGACGGATTATGTACCCCTTCTGTGCATAATGTGTATTAAAATGCTGGGTAACACACGGAGCCAGGCAATCCGCCTAACACCTGGGTGTGCTGCACCACTCCCTGCTGAACTGGAGAAGGAGACTGTGTGGAAAAGGAGACATTGCCTTGTTTGGGGCTGCGATGGTAACTGCAATTCCAGGTACCTTTTGCATCTTTCAAATCCCAAGGCAAAAAAAAAAAACAGAACGACAAAAAGTAATAAACAAAGACACAGACTGGCCACCAAATTTCTTAACCATACAAAGTGTATGACTAAACTGGTGTAGTTCAACCAGTGAGAGTTCATGCAAAAATAGCAACATTAGATAAGCTAAACTGCCCCAAAAGGACAAGAGTTTCTTCCCCAAATTCCAAATGACAGGCTCTGTCATAACAGTTTCTTTGTGCTCTGGCATACAGAAACCTCAAAATACTCAATTTTTGAAACATAATTTTGAAGGGAATTTTCCTTCTTCCTTTGTCAGCCTGCCATAGATGACCAACTGAGAATGAACTAATCATGCATGGGAAGAAATAAATCATGCTGCCAGCTCTGAAAATAATTTCTAACAGTTTTGTGATACTTTCCCCTAGTGAGTAGCTTTCAGACATTCATCCACAACCGTCAGTGCTGTCATATGTCACACTGAACAGTCACTTCTAGGGAATAATTAAACAGGCAACTTTTGGAGGGAACAATACATTCAATAGTCAATAGGTAATTCTCTATTCAATATTAAAGTTGCTGTGTGATGTTTTAAAGCTGCAGGTTTCTGTCCTGAGGACAGAAAATGAGAGGCAAAGTGATTCCTCTTTTACAGTTTGGTAAGACCTTAGCGATTTGGTACAGTTTAGCCAAAAGTTCTCATACAGATGTCCCTTAGGAATGGAGTTGTTTTCTTGTGAGGAAATCCTCTAATAGCTTGAATGACCAAAAGGGAGAGCATCTCTCAAGGGATGGGACCTGCTCTGCACAGTGTCCCAAGGGAAAATCCACAGAGGCTCCATACAATGATGCATGATTGTGGAGTGCCCAGCTTCTGAAGGGATGTAAGGTTTACTCCTTATCTATATTCCTTTTCCTATTCTGTCTTATTAAAGCAGTTATTAAACCATTTATTGTCAAGCATTTCTTATTGCAAGAGCCCCATGCCAGCTCTCTCTCACCTCACCTCCCCGTGCTGGTCCATAACACACTCACTAGGCATTGATCAGTTTTAGGTTTTGTAAACCGTCATCCAAATTGCAGTGAAAGATCTTTCCATAATTTTGGTGAATACTTGTTATCCCCCACCTCCATTATAATAAAAAGGAACATATAGTTTTTCCTGACTAGGCCTGCAGAAAGTCAGGATATCATTAAGGTCACTGCAAGCAGAGGACAACTGAATCCTTCAGCACCTCTCCTACAGTCTAATTTGTAAATATGATTCTGGGGAATCAAACTTCAATATCTTGCTTTATGCTAGGTGACTGGGCAAGACAGAGAAAGCCTACAAGGTATTCAGAGAGGTCACAGCCTGCAGAGCTCTTGCTGCCTTGACTTTATAGCTGTTTCAGTGACACACTGAAATTTGGCAGCCAGTCATCTCCAAAGGGCATCCTAGGAGGAAAAGCTATGACTCATTAATATTTAAAGTTTTAGAGGACCAAACAGTTAAGAAATGCTGCCAGGTCTGGAGTGGAGGCAGATAAAGAGGAGGAGAAAGGAGAGGTGATGGCTGGAAGGGAACTGAAATCTCTGCGCATTTTCCTGAATCTAAGGGATGGTTAATGCCAGCCTTGGCCTTAGTTCAAGTGTGGCTGTGAATAGCTGTGCCCCTGTGTGGTGGTGCTAGATGCAGCCGAATAATTAAGGTTGAAGGTTATAGAAGAATTCAACCTGCTATGTGTCAAAAATAAAATACCTTCTCCTCACCCTTATACTTCTTTCCTTAGAGTACAGGATTAATTTTTCAAGAAGTACAGGTCAACTTACAATTAGCTTAAAAATAATACTGGTTTTAAAAATGGATTCTTCAAAAAAAAGTATCAGCTTATCACATGGGCCAGTTTCTTTTTTAGTCCTCATGACCTGAATATTAGGAAGTCGTAAAGTTTACTACCTAGAGAAAATAAATGAAACCTTTGCTTAGCCTAGGGTTGAATTTCTTTTCCTTTTTTTTTTTTTTAATTGTTACTGGGTTTTGATTTTATTATTTTTCCTAAATAAAAGTTACAGCTAGAGTGAAGGTTCTTTTCCTAAGAATTTTTTCTCCCTTTCAAAGGCAGTCATATCCCATGGTTCTTATGGGACGTAAACTGCAAGATGCCCCCACCATAGGTACCTTCCTGAACGAGACCACATCAAAAGCCAGCTCTGAAACACTGGAATCTAAAACCAGTGTAAGATCACACACACACTGTTGCTCTTCTGGTTCCCCTTGATTTATTATTTATTGGAAACAGAACACAAGATTATTTTTAAAACACTGAAGGATATCCCACCCTAGGGTTGGTTGATAACACTGTCACCTCTTGCAGTTTCACTGGTACTCTCACAATATTTGATATGTTTGTCCTGGCTATAGATTGAAAAAAGAAAGAACTTAAGTATTCAATTTTACCTAAAAAGTGAGGGGTGGGAGGAGAGAAAGGACTGCTATGATACTTATAAAAACTGTAAACTAAAGGCTTAAAAACCAGTGAAGCAAATTGAACTTGCTACTTACTACTTTTAAAAAGTTCAGAGGATTTTTCAAAATCAAATTTCCATACTTTATTTTTTCCTAAATGGGACTAATTCACTATTTTCATTCATAAACTTTATGATCACTGGTGATCCGGTTATTATTCGATTTTCAAAATACCTTAATATCTTCCAGGATCTAATGTACCACATTTGGCCACCAGCAGAGTGGGAAAGAACTCTCTAAGTACTGGGTATTAGAGTAAGTAATCCATAATAAATACTGTGTTTAATTTATAAAGCTTCATCTGGCGTACATGACAATACTTGGCTGCCCTGCTCTGAGTCACCTCCCCTCCTGTCTTGAGTCTCAGGGCAGGATGAGGCAAAGCTGGAGGCACCAGCACCTCTGCTCATGCTTGTTGCAGGGCTCGTGGGTGCCCAGCACATGGTGGCCCTCTCTTCTCTCCCTCATCGGTCTGTGCTGCCAGCTGGCTTACCAAAACCACGTGGGGAGCTAACATGATGCTACACTCTCCACTTGCTCCCCGAGCACACCCTGGTGAAGTTCAGTCATGTGCCGTCCCAACCAGAGCCATTAAAAGAGGAGCTTTGGTTAGGTTTAAAGAAGCCTGCTGATGAGTGGAATTTTTAAAGCAGTGATTCTACACAAACTTCAATACACCTGAAAGATTGGTCAGACACGGCAAACAAGAAGGTGAGCAGCCCATACCTGGAACTGACACGCACATTTCAAGCCGTCGCCCTCTTCCTTGCACACTCCTCCGTATTTACATGACGACTCATCACACACTTTTACGTCGGATTCCCTCACATTTAGTTCTGTGAAAAAAATAGAAAAAGGAGACAGAAAAAAAGTTGTAAGATGAGTAATTTTGGGGACTACCTTGTCCTTAAATCCACTGAGTCCCCCTGTTGCCTTATGCACATACGGAAATCAAAGGAAAAAGCCAGAGCCGTTCCCTGGGCTGCCCCGTGTCAGCTCCATCCTGCTCCCCAGGGACAGGTCCTGCTCCCCAGAGGCAGCTTTGCCTGGTTGGCACAGAGGCTGTGGCTAACTGCCGCTTCATCATGCAAACAGACACAGAGCAGGCACATGTCTGCACTGCTCAAATTCCCTTCCACGTAGCCCCTGCTGGGGATGCCCCAGTATAAGACCCTCCGGCACAGAAGTTGTATCTTGCAGAAGTCAGGACCTTTAGACAAGCCACAGCCCATGTTTCTCACCTGCTAACTCTTTTTGCATTACTCAATACAAAGGTCCCGAAGAAGAAAAAAACCAAAAACGTCAGAACTTCTCTGCCCAGTTTTTCAGTCTCTGTCTTACCCAAGCTCTTATCCTTCAGACTAAAAATAAACCAAAGTGTGATTAAACCATTATAATTTGCTTGCACTGTAGGAGCCAGAGTAATGAACCAGAGCCCTCTCTTAGCTGCTGCATAAATACATGGAGCACAAATGCAGCTCCTGCCTCAGTAAGCTGGCAGCGGAGGTAAAGGGGCTGTATGCATCAACTGCACAGGCCCTAGCACCAGCACAAAGGTTGCTTAAACGGCTTCCAACTTTTTTGGCCATTCCATCCAAGGGTAGTTTTAAAGGAGAATAAATATACCCTTTGGAAATAAGTATATAAGTATAAATATATATATTCAACTATATATAGTAGAGAGAGCAAAAGAAGGCACCGGTGGGGTAATGGAAGTGGTCAGTGTTAGCCTAAATGTGACCTCACCGGGCTGTGAGGGAATGGTGCTGTTACTGTAGCTTGCAATGAAAAGGTGAAAATAACACAAGGCAAGGGCTCTGGAAAAATCCCTTGCCACTGTTTAAGGCTGCACTGGTATCAAAAGATACCATTTGAAGCTTTGGCTCGAGTCATAGAATCATTGAATCATAGAATCATAGAATCGTCTAGGTTGGAAGGGACCTTTAAGATCATCAAATCCAACCATGGAGTTCAACCATTAGCCTAACCCTTCCAGAACCACCACTAAATCATATCCCTCAGCATCACATCCACACGGCTTTTAAATACCTCCAGGGATGGTGATTCCACCACTTTTCTGAGCAGCCTGTTCCAATGATTGACTGCCCTTTTGGTGAAGAAATTTTTCCTAATATCCATCCTAAACCTCTCCTGGGCAACTTGAGGCCATTTACTCTTGTCCTATCGCTTGTCACTTGGGAGAAGAAACCTCCAGGACACTATAGCAATATGACCCACTAAAAAGTTTCACTGACAGTGGGCTGATTTAAAATAACGTCTGTGACTCTTAATAAGCAAGCCTTATCCAGATAACCGGCTTGAAGAAAACACTGAATACCAGCCATTCAGAAATGGGGAAAGGTAGGTGAAAAGCAGAAGAAAATAATGCTCACTACCACTTGCAGGCTTAAATAGGCAGTCACCCTCCTGCTCACAGCAGTGTCAACACTCTGGTGTGTCAGTGACAGACACATCAGAAAACTGCTCCAGTGGGCTTATGTAACATTATACACACACACACATATTTTATATAAATAAATATATAATTATATAATAAGTTGTGTAATAAGTTATGCCATGTGTCATATACTGCTGTTTAATATAGCATAGTTACACATTTTTTCATAGCACTAAAGGTACAGGATTATAGCTCAACAGAGGTCCAGTTATAATCTGTACATTTTGTCAACTGTGACAAAAAATTTTAACAATATTGGGTTTTTTTTCTTCCTATACATCGATCATTCCTGAAGGCATGAATGAGAAGGGCAATGTATGTAACACTGGCTAGTAAGGTATCCTGGTTGCCATCACAACCCCATGCACGTGTCCTCTAATGTTATTCTTAATGTCTCCATTTATCAAGCACGACTGCTGCATTGTAGGGACCGAGTTAATGTGACAGAACATCGCAGCTTTTCAATTTAGAGTGTTCATAACTCGCTCCTGAAGGAAATGTGCCTTTCCTTCTCCTCGTGAAGATCTGTTCCACGAAGATGAACAAACTATCAAGATTAATTAAGGGGGAACGATTGTCATATCTGGAAGAAGGATCCACCTTTAGGTGATACCGCATTTGAGAAAATGCAATTTATAAAAGAGAGTAACCAAATAGACAAATCACAGCATGAACAGGTTTCAAAATCCTGCTTTCATCGGCTCAGGAAATTAAAGTGATGTGGGCCCCCCCCTTCTCAGCTCTCAGCTGAGCTCGCTGGACTTGGTGCTTCACAGCATCACACCCGGTACCCCCATCAGCAGAAGAAACCCCATGGCAGCTGCAACTCATGCTTGAAATCCTGAGGGTCAACACGATGTCCAGCTGCCCAAGCAACGTAACACATGCTTTGCCCTGACGTCTGTGTCACCCAGCGTGAAGAGGCACACGATTGCCCAGGAAGAAGCCTCTTTGCCATGGGGGGGAAGGCGAGGCACCTCACTTTTCTGCATGGGTAGGGAGGAACCTGGGGGGGGTCAGAGACTGTCCCCAGCTAGCAGTTCAGTATCAAGGCTGAAACCAGAGATGTACTTGTTCCTAACTTAGCTATTGCTCTGACTCCAAAAGCTAGTGAGAAAGGGAAAGACTTCAGAGCAAAACTGTAAGAGGAGATGTGAAGATGAGAGTCGGGAATCAGCCCTTGTGAGGCCCCCTCAGCTAAGAAACTGAGATTTCATTTTTTTTAATAAATCCACAGGAGGAATTAGGGTGACAGAAAGCACATTGTTTTAATGGTTAGTTAATTGTAGAGTGGACTGTTTTTCTCTCCACATAAATGATAACTGCTTTTTTGCATGAGATGAAGCAGGGAAGGTCATTCAGAGACCAGGAGCTAACGTGATTTCCAAAACCATATGAAAGACAAGACACCCTGGTGACTGGCACTTGAACGTGACAGATGAACTTTATTCTGACAGGATGTCAGCTAATCCCTGCTTCCGTTCAGTGGCAAATTCCAGCAGCAGCGAAATCAAGCCTCTGACACGCGCATGATTACATCTGATGGAATCATAAGTAGGGAGGAGTGTGGTGGCCATAATGACTTCTACATCTATGGTGTCTGGTTCAAAAGCAAATAGATGAGGATGGATGTTAGTAGAGGTATGTGAAGAGGAACTGCAGATATCTAGCATGTCTGAAATACGCTCTCTCTTCTGTGGATTCCCCATAGAGAGAGAATTAACATGGAGTTTCTGCAATTATTTCCAGAAGAACAAAGTCATTATCATTATATGTGAGAACAGATCTATGAAAGGAGTACAAACATGTAGCAAACGGTTTAGGGTAATTTCCTGCATGTTTCTTTAATGCCTATCACAACTCATTTCCTAGACTTTTAGCCATCATAAATAAGAGAAAGCCTCAGTGTGATTCATTACGTACAGCGAGAAGATGGTAAGTAGTAATCCATCAACTCCCAGGAGAAAATATAATTAGCGCAATTAAATCAGGCTTCCAAATTTATGATAATATTAATCTCCAAAGACCTAAAATGAGGTATTAAAAATGATTTGCTAGTATCTGTGCAGCCAATACACTTCCTGGTGGTGTGAGGGCTGACCAGCACAGAGCAGCATGCAGGAATTTGGCTGCGAAGACCCACATCAAGGTCTTTTGGGGTTTTTTTTCTTCTTTTGAAATGAATTCACCTTGTGATAACTTGATACATCAATAAAAATGAGGAAAGCCTTCTTCATTTTGACTCCTTTCAGAGAATTTGAAGTACAGCTCAACACAAGTAGCTGGAGATTGCAATTTGCCTGTGACCTCAAAATGCATTGCTCTGGGGCTTGAACCTCTCATTATAAGCTAAATTACACATGTCAAAATGCTGAACCTGAAGATGAAATCAAATTTGCAGGTTTAAGTACATCAAGCTTGTTGAAACATGTTGCTTCCACTTGGATACCTCAAGAATAAAATAAAATCTAAGATAGGCAAATCTGGTAACTTCGTGAGCAATTTGTTTTTTCAAAACTCATGTTTCTCCAGGGATTGGCGATAGTACACAGTAATGATGAATAAAGAACCAAAAAAAAAAAACCTTTTCCATATGAAAGTGAGCAGGTGGGTTTAGTAGCAGCATAGCTTTGGCCCTCCTCATTATTTCAGCTGTGCCTGAGAAAAACCCTTCTGCCTGCTTGTTTTCTGTTTCCTATGGGTAAGACCCCAACCAGGGGAGGTGCCGGGACCCCTCACCCCCTTTTCCTCTTGACCTGTGGGTTTGACATAAGATGGGGAGCAGCTTGCATCATTCTCACCAAAGGGGGAAAAGCAAAGCAGTGCGGGGCACCTCACTGCTGCTTTTCTGTCCTCCAGACAGTTTGTTCTTTGTGAAGCCAAGTTTTAAATTAGGATGTATGACCTCTAATGAAGGTCATAAACAGAAACACATAGACAGAGATTCGTGAAAGTTCATAAAGGATCTGCTATTCTACAGGTTAAAAGAACCCTCCAAATTGTAAGAATGGCTGAAGTGGGTCAACACTGGCTTGGGAAACGACTCTGAGGAGAAATTATGTTGTGTAAGGGTATGTTAGAGCCCACAAAGTATACTGGAGATAGTGGCATTATGACTGGATGAGCTCTCAGAAACTCTCAGAGAACAGAGTAAAAATATGATGAGAAGAAAACCTATATCCTACTCGATTTTGGAAGTCTGTCTTATGACTCCGGATTGACTTCTCTGGCTAGTGATTTTTCTGGTTTTGGCAAATTATTTAGGAATGACTGGAGAACTTAATGGGGAAAAAAAAAGACAAAACAAGAAAAAAAAAAGAAAACCTTTTCCTTAAGGATTATAAAGCTGAGCTGCTCATGGGACATGGATATTAATAA